CACTCATTTACAGAGCACGCAGAGATTTTCTTCCGGGACGGCCACAGCAGCGCATTTTCAGGCATGACAAGGACTCCAGGTAATGACACGATGAAGACCACTCACTAATAGTCCCAAAACAAAAGGTGACGTCCCTTCTGGTGGCTGAGCTGGCCGGACTCTGCCCACGCTGCACTAATGAGGGGCCGTGGGCTATGTGACGGCAACTGGGAGACGGACCTTTGCCACTGTGGGCGGCCCCCAGCGTCCCACCCCTCGGTGCCACAGGGAGGGTCAGAGTGCACTGGGGCAGCAGCCTGCTTGGTCTCAGGCCCAGTATCCCAGCAAAGAGTCAATCTCCGCTTCAGCTCTGAACACACGAGGTCGGAGCCCTCGGAGCCGGTGTCCAAGAACTCTGCCGCGACCCACAGCAGAAGCACGGCCTCTCTCTCTGCTCTAGGCCAACTGGCTCACCCTAACAAGGGCGATTAGAGTCTGGAGAACACACTCTTTGAATGCAGAATCAGAATGTGTGTTGTATTAGGTGCCACCTTATTAAAAGGACCAGAATATTTGAAGGTAGGACGGTCCCAGAAAGTCCAAGCCAGCATGCCTATGAGGAAGCAAAGCGCTAAAGACGCCCAGTAGCTCATGCCAGTCCCACGTGTGCATGCGCTTTGGACAGACACACACCACGTGTCTGACAGTGAGCGGCTGCTGTGTGCCAGGCTCTGTTCTTGGCACTGCAGACACAGTGGTGAGCCCGGCAATAGCAGTTCCCGCTCCCCTGGGCCTTGCATTTAGTGGAGGAGCAAAGCAACAAGCAAACAAGAATTTAAAGAGATAACTAACAGATGGTGAATGCGCTGGTTGTGAAGTCCTCCTCCAGACAGTCACAGATGGCAGCCGTCTTAGCCACGACAGGAGTGCACTTCCCAGGCCCCTAGGGGCGGGTGAAGCCCTATGCGTAGTTCTCTGGGTAGTGATACCCCAGGCATCACCAGATATTTACAGTTATCCAGTCCAGATTAATCTATGATTTCCAGGTTCAAACGAAAGGGAGAAAGAGAGAAAAGAAAGAAAGAAAGAAGAAAGAAAGAAAAAGAAAAAGAAAGAAAGAAGAAAGAAAAAAAGAGGGAGAGGGAGGGAGGGAAAAGAAAAGAAAAGAAAAAAGAAAAGAAAAGAAAGAAAAAGAAATCTCCCCAAAGAAGCCCGGAATATCCTGACTTTGAATTCCCTCCTAGACCATTCCATTTTATCGGTGCCACAGAGTCATCACCAAGACTTTTCTCAATTGCAGGATGAGATAACTTTGATGTTGTATCTCTTTGGGTAGCCAGCCCTTCTGTGCCCATCCCACACTCTTGTCAATGTTGGTTCCCATGTGGGTGGACAAATAAAAATAAAACATACAGGAGCTAAATAACTTACTGTCAACCTTAACATATTTATTTGCCTTTGCTCATGCAGAATATTGAGGAATCTCAACCCAAAAATGATCTGGGGAGGGAGAGGTACAGGTGAAAGTCTCCACATGCTAACAGTGTATTTGGAGGAGTTTAAAGCCAACGACAGCATCCACCTTCCCAGGACCTCGGCTAACAAGCCTGTGGTGCTCTAATGCCTTCTCAGCAAGAATGAACTCAGAGCATCGGGACTGTGCCTCAAAGCCAAGGAGCCCCTGCAGGCCTGGGACTTCAGCAGCGGTGAGTGACCTCCCAAGACTCCTCTCTCCCCTAAGGAAATCAAGTCTCAGCACATAGGATCCATCTGATCTCATCTGAACCCGGAACGGTACCATCTGAGCTCCTCCACCCCAGAATCAGCCAGGCTGGTTTTAAAATCACAGGGTAGAAAGATATCACATGCAGATGGCCTAATCTCAGTCACTTCTCTGTTGAAAAGTCATACCGTTTATCCCCGATACATGCTAAGAACCACGTTCAAAACGTGATTAACACCACCAGCCAAGAATCGCTATTAGCTTAACAGACTGATTAGCAAGGCAGGAGAGCGGCGGACTACACGCCGAGCAAATGGGATCTGTTAAATGGCACTAGCTGGTCTATCTTCACTATGGTTTTAGTGCAGTGGTTTGTTACACGTATACCTAATAATGCTACAGAGTGAAACGTCAAGTCTCAGCTCTTAACAGCCTCATTGAAATTAAATTTGTATTTATCGTCCTTCTAATTATTTTCCGAGCCATCTGACCAGGACACTTCTTTATGCTGTGGTGGAACAGTTGTCTCCCTAACCACAGGGTTAATTAACATACACGGGTTCTTGAGAAGTCGAAATTACCGAGGCAGGGAAACTAGCGGTAGACTTTCAGCTAAAGCCATTATTTTCTTTACAAGGTCACATTGTGAAAATAGTTTAGAAATTGCAAACTAGCCATTTAGACCATGTTTTTAATTACGAGCACAGCCTCCAATGGACAGCGCCGCAGACAGACCCGCCTTCCAAGGCATCTGTCCAGATTCATGTAAAAGCTCCCCCTGCGATCATCATGCGTGATTCTCAAGGGCCTCCCTGTTTAGACTCATTCCCGCTCAGCAAACAGTCCCTGGGCACCTGGAGACAAATGTTCTCCGCCTGAATCCAGGTACTGGGAATGAATCTGCTCTTCCCTAGTTTTTCTATTTTTAAACCCCGGCCGGGCGCATCAGTTACCGCGGGGTGCAGGTGTTGGCATCCGGGCCTTGGCAATCACGAAGAAAGCCGCTATAAGCATCCGTGTGCAGGGTTTCGTGTGGGCACAGGTTTTCAACCTCTTTGAGTGCCTGGGCATTTTAGTCCATGACCTATAATTATCTTTATCCGTAAGCCACTGCGAGTTGGGTTTTCTGTCACTTGTAATCGCAGGAGTCCTGACGTGCACGCAGTTGCTTCCCAGGTTACATGCAAGTGAGTCAGAAACTGCCTGCGGGGCCTCCAGCAAGTCACCCACCCGCGTTCAGCCTCGGCCGCATCCTCTTGAAGAAGGGTGAAGGATGTCTTTGCTCAGCGTATTACAGAATTGGTAAAATCAGAGACCAGGCAGAACAGAGCAACGCGCGATGGTCTTGGCAGGCTGGATCGCACAGGCTGTGCCTGGCGGGGGCGTTAGACACGCCCCCCACTTCTGCACCACTCTGCTCCTCTCAGGTTGCGCAGGGAGGAGACTCCGTCCCCCGCACAGCCCCAGGCACCGCTGGAGGGTCTGCACATTGGAACTGAGGCCTTTCATGCTGCTCAGTGATGCTTAATGGTGACGAGACTTCACCAGGAGACAGAGATCAATACGCCAGCCAGCCTCAAATTGCGGGTAGACTGGGGACACGGGGACAGAGGATTCCGAGTTCAGCCCTTTCTCACCAACAGTGAAAGCTTCCGTTCCCTTCAGTGGAGCAAATATTTTTGGAGAGTCTATATGTGTCAGCACTATTCTAGGCATTGAAAATAGGGAAGTGATGAAAACCAGATAAAAATAAAAAGACTACTATTATAAAGCTTATATTCTAGTTAGGGGCAGGGGAAAAACAAATACTAAACAGGAGAAATGAACGAAATATGCACTGCTGGTGAGAAAATAAACAAAACTTGGAAATAGGGAGCGTTAGAGGGGTGCAATGGTAAACAGGGGACTGGCCTCACCTGGGAGGTGACCCTGGAGTGGAAGTGAGGGAAGGAGCCATGCAGGTATCTGAGGAAGAGCAGTCCAGGCAGAGGGAGTGGCAGGTGCAAAGGGCCTGGGGCCGAAGTGTGCCTGGAATACGTAAGGAACAGCAAGTTGGCCCGGAAGTCCGTAGTGGAGTCCGATGCAGCAGGTGGGAGGGTTGAAGGTAACCGATGAGGTCAGATACAATGGGGTGTGGAGAGCGAGGGCAGATAAGCCTTTTAGGACTGTAGGGACCATTTGTAGGACATTGGACCTTTGAGTGAGAAGAGAGTCATTGAAGCATTTAACGAAATCAATCCGGTTGATGTATTGAGAATAGACTGTCGTGGGCAAAGGCAGACGTTGAAGACCAGAGATGAGGACACTTCGGGCATCCAGGTCAGAGATGACCAGGACTTGGGCCAGCGGTAGCAGTGGAGGGGGAGAGAGAATCAGGTCTTGGGTTAGCGCTGGCAGGATTCATTGATGGGCTGCATGGTGGGATGAGAAAGGATTCTAAGGAGACTCCGAAGTACTCATCTGAGCCACCAGCGTGACCACTAGGAGATCTGTCTGAAGGTACTTTCAAAGCTCCTACGTTCAGCCTAATTCCACCAGAATTTAAGATTCGGTTCTGATATGCCGAGTCGAGGAGCACCTCTTTTTTTCATCACTGGACCCCCCGCACTTGCCCTGGCATACACTGGGTGATCAGATCAGCATGACTTGTGCAACTTAATTTATTTTTTCAAACATGACAAAATTGAAGACTGTGCCAGCACCAACTAAAGCCTCTGGCAGAATATCTAAATCTGGTTTCTCATGAGACAACGGCGACTCTTCCCGTGCCCCCACCCTAAGTGAACACTGCAAGGGAGGTTCCCAGCATGATTATTATTATTGGAGTAAGTGCAGTGATGCCAAAGCCTTCTTTGCTTCCTGATGAGGATGAGCCCACGCAGGGGAGTGCACAGGGCTGGGACCCCAGAGCAGGAAGCCCACCGCGCTCCCCTGCACACACCACCTGTAGCCTTCCAAGCCCAATGGAGAGCCACATATTCTGACATCCTGCATATATCCACGACTCTGAAAATGCAGAAACTCTGTTCTTCTGAGTTATGCTCGTAAAAAATCTGGATTATCTGCTGCTGAGGGTGAGGGGAGTTGGGGGTTCATTGAATTCTAGAGTTCGCCAGACTACTGTAAAAAAATGGGTGCAAAGACACCCAGACCCAGGGCCCCATCCAGCAGCTAGCACCGGCTCTGAAGGAAGCCCCTCGCCTTTCTGGAGGCAGCAGTTCAGCGAGAACCCGAGTGTGTTTGCCGAATGAGTGGACCAACAGCCAATCAAAGGAGCAGGCTTGCGTCCATCCGGCATGCCCCGGCACTGGCAAAGACACCGAGAGGCGTGATCTTGCCTGATCCACAGGCAGCGTCAGAATACAGACCTGGGCCACCTGCGACGCTCATTATGTTTCAGAGAATCATAATTCAGCTTTCATCTTATTTTGTCTTACTTGCTGCTGTGTCGTGGGTGTCTGTCTCTGTGTCTGGCCCTCAGAGGATGGATCCATCACTAGTTGAATGAAAGAATGAATGAATAATACGTTCCATATCCCAGGTACTTTATAGACATTATCGCTAATCTTCACAATAAAAGCCTGCAGCAGGTTGTCCAAATTTCTCACTTTTATAGAGGAAAATGAAGCTCAGAGAAATTAATTAAATTAGTCAAGATCTCACAGTTATTAAGGTTCCATAAATGTCAGTTGGGTCTAGGTAATTGATAGTATTTCATGGTTTTACATATCCTCATCAATTTTCTGCCCACTTGTTCTATAGGTTACTGAGAGAGGAGAACTGATGTCTCCAAGTACGTTTGTCGACTTGTACATTTTTCCTTTCAATTCTATCCATTTTTTCTTCCTGTATTTTGAAGCTCTGTTGGTAGATGCACCTACTTATTCCTGTTATATGTCGATGAAATGACACTTTTATACCAATGTATTGACCTTCTATATCCCTGATAATTTTCCTTGTTCTAACATCTACTCTGTCTGCTATTAATATAACTCAACTTTCTTTTGACTATGTGATTGCAAGTTATGTTTTCTGCCCATCCTTTTACCACGAGCCCCCCCATGTCATTATTTTAAAGTGGTTTCTTACAGACAATGTATAATTAGCTCTTTTTTGAATCCAGACTATAATCTCTTATCTTTTGATTGGAGAGTTAAGATCATTTAGATTTTATGTGAGCATTGATAAGGTTGTGTTTATCATTTTATTATTTGTTTTGTTTGCCTCCTTTTTGTGTTTGTTTTATAATAAAAGCTACTTAAGAAAATCAACACAAATATTCTCTCTCAAGTGTCTGGAAAGGCGGAAGCTGAGTGATCCTGCTGGCTGTGACTGGGCCACTTTGTACTGTTTCTCATCCTCCTCCTGGGACACCAGACCAATCTCTCCTTGTTCTCGTCAAGCAGACAGAAGTTCACGGAAACGAGTGAAAACATGCAAGTCTTCTTAAAGCCTAGGGCTCTGAATGGGCAAAACAACACTTCTACTTCATTTTGTTGAGCAAAGCAAGAAGCAGAACTGAACCCAAATTCGAGGAGCCTGGATACAAACCTCCCCTTTTGTGGGAGGAGATGATTAGTCAAATGATAAATGAACCAAAAAATCAGCCTACCTCTGTGGCCAGATAACCAAATGCAGACAGATGACCAGACATTGAGCTGATGCCCAACAACGCCTGCAAAATACAGAGGAAAGTTTGATTTAAAAAGCTAAGTTACACTGAGCACTCAGCTCAGTCTGGGCCACAGTAAACAATTAACACTTGGTCAGTGTTGTTTCTATCATTACATTAAGAACTATTTAGAGTCATTAAAGGTAACCTGTTCCCACCCAACAGTTTTATACTAAGAAGAAAGATGGCAGGTGTGCCACCTGTAGCCTTCTCGGCGATGGTGAGAATTATTGATTTCTTTTTCTTTCACGCCAGGTAAATGGTTAGAAGGAAATGTCTCCAGAGCTGTGACAGCTAATGTGGTAGCCTTGTTCCAGGTATGGCCATTTAAATTTAAATTAATTAAAGCAAAATAAAATAGTGCAGTTCCTTGTTTTTGTCAGTCACATTTCAGTAGCTCACTTGTCACGTGTGGCTAGTGGCTATGGTATTGGACAGCACAGATATAGAACACTCACTTTATTGCAGAAAGTTCTAGCGGACAGCACTCTGAAGCATTCTGGTATCATCGGGGCATCTGTCAAGTTTCTTTCAACGTTACTGCTGTATTCCTATGGGGATAAAGGTTGTAAAATTCAGCGATGGTTTCCAAGTTGGCACGCTGCCATCAGTTGCTCA